AAGATTTGAAGCAATCCTGCATGTAGACCCCTGATATTTCCTAGGTTGCTACAATTGCTGAAACCTGAGTGTCCCAACAGTTATGATTTCAACAGCTTTCCGTGTTTTTTTTTTTTGTCTTGAAGACAGTTGACATAGAGCCATATCTGCATATTTCTAAGTCTTTGATTTAGACACTGGGTTCAATTCAGGCTCCTTTCTCTTGAGCTAGTGTAAGTTAAACATCTGTCTGTAGGCAACAAGTCCCTGTGTGTAGCTAGACTTTCTGCATATTTTTATTTTTCAATCTCTTCTTCTAACCACTATTTCACAGATACTTTGGAAATGCTATCTTATCCCTTCTGAGCCCCTGGCCTGGGACTGCCTCCTCTGTCCCTGGCTGACCTGGGCCATCCTTTACTCAGCTCATCCCTAGGTGAATGTTCTGTGTTGTGACTCGGGTCAGTGAGTCTGAGTTTGAAGGCCTATTCTACCCTTAACCACCCATGTGGCAACCTCGTAGAACCTCATCTTCCGTATTTGCAAAATGGCGTTGTTAATGATGCTTCCAGCTTTTTGGGACATTAAATTAAACAATGCATGAAAGACACGTAGCTTCGTGCTGTGATTTGTGAGCCTCATAGATGCTATTCTGCATGACTGTCATCAGAAAAATCAGCAAGATTTGATAATGTGACTGGTCACATGATTTGTATTGACAAATACATTTTAAGTCTTTGTTTTCTTCTCTCGTCTACTCTGTAGACTCTCTTTTCAACAGATTATTAAATGGAGTCCAGTTAGATATCCTCTACCCAATGTTTGAAGAAACTCCAGCTTTTGGACCTGATGAGATAACCTAGTGGCTAAGGTGCTTGTCTTGCACATGCTGGGATCCCATTCGGGCACTAGTTCTAATACTGGAGGCCCTGCTTCACATCCAGCTTCCTGCTTGTGGTCTGGGGAAAGTAATTGAGGATGGCCAAAACCCTTGGGACCTTGCACCCTAGAGGGAGACTCAGAAGAAGTTCCTGGCTCCTGGCTTCAGATCAGCTCAGCTCCGGCACTTGTGGCCACTTGGAGATTGAGTCTAGGGACAGAAGATCTTCCTCTGTGTCTCTCCTTCTCTCTGTATATCTGACTCCACCTCCAACCCCTGCAAAAAAAAACAAAACAAACAAACAAAAAAAACTCCAGCTTTCCCTCTCTGCTTCTGTTGGTACTAATTAAATCTACCTTTGCATTTGCTAGAGAGAAGATAATGGTTATGACTTTTCCAGCAAACAAAAGCAAGTAAGGAAATCAGGTTAATAAAGTTAAGTCAATGCTATGTGCAGCTATTGTGAGAGGCAGTGGGAATACATGATTGGAAAATAGTTCCTGTAATAAACCAAAACAAAACTACATTGATTTATTTCTAGTAACAAGGTAACATTTATAGATATTACATGATGTTACATTTGGGATTTTTCAGGATTTTTTAAAGAAATATTTATTTATTTGAAAGTCAGCAGTTACAGAGAGGGAGCGATCTTTCCTTTGGTTCATCCCTGACTTAAAAGCTTTAGGTGCTTGAAATTCCTCATGTTTGCTTTCTTACTTGAATACAGTTGAATGGATCTGGCTGCTGAATGAGTCTCCATGAGTAAATGGTTTTCAGGATGTAAATTAAATATTTGAGAAACACATTCACTCCTTTAATGTACATTGTTTTGTATATTCTCACTTTTTGGAAAGTGTTCTGTAAACACTGTTAAAAACCATAATTACTGAAAAGTATTTTGACGTTGTCAGAATACCATTAATGTAAAAATGCTCAGTAATTTAACTGTGGGAACTACAAGCAGGATGTGCAGAATTCGGAATTATTTGAAATAGAAAAAGGTGGAGCAGTGCTTGGGAATTGATACTTGCAACTGAGACCTTGCATCTGCACTTTGTTTTTCCTTTTATAGATTGTTATTTTTATTTGAAAGGCATATTGTCAGAGAGAAAAGAGACTGAAAAAGAGATCTTCAGTCTGCTGGTTCACTCTCCCAAATGGCTGCCCTGGCTGGAACTGAACTGATCCAAAGTCAGGAGCCAGGAACTTCCTCTGGCTCCCATGTGGGCATAGAGGTCTGGAGCCATCCTCTGCTGTTTTTCCAGACCACCAGCAGGGAGATGGATCAGAAGTACATTAACCATTGCCCATATGGGATGCTGGCACGGCAGACAGAGGATTAGCCTACCACACCACTGTCCCACCCTGTACTTTCTCTTTTTCAGATATGAGCAACTTGGAGCTAGGATGCCAACCTCAGGAAAGGTTAGGTTGGTGGCTAAGGGATTTAGGGGTAGATGGTTATAATACTTTAAGTTATTTATTTGGAAGGTAGAATGACAGAGAAGGAGAGATGAGCTTGCCCAGCTGGGACTGATCCAGGCCAAAGCCAGGAGCCTGAAACTCCATCAGTCTCCCACATGGGTGGCATGGGCCTAATGACTTGGGCCATCTTTCGCAATTATTTTGCTTCCATTATCTCTTACTCCTATTAGCTTTTCAAATCCTCTCTACTCTACAGAGATGATTTCTGTCCAAGTTCAGTAACCTCCACTTGTGCCATCCAGTGGGTCAATTCTCAGTTCTTGGTTAACTCCTCTGATACGTGGACAGAGCTTGACTCAGCGAGTCAATCTCTCCTACTTGCAGTGTTGCCTCCACACTCGCCTGGTCTTTTCTACCTCATTGGTCCTTCCTCAATCTGATTTTCTCTCTTCTCTTCTAACAGCCTGTTCCTGTTGGAATGTATAAGGCCTAATTCTTAAAACTTTCTCTCTAAACTTTGCCATCATTTGCTGATAATTTCCACATCTTATCTTCAATCTTGACCTCTCTCCCAGGCTCCAGACTCACATTTCAAAGTGTCAGTTCCACATTTCCACTTGCATGTTCCACTTGCATGAGATAATCTATGTATTTTGAGTAAGCACGGTTTGAATAAAGGGAATTAGAAGTGTTAGAAATAGCTAAAGCCCCGGGCAGGGAGGGACTAGGTTGTCACTTCTAGGCGATCCTATAGGAAACACATATCCAGGGGCTGTATTGGAGTCTCAATTCTCTCAGCCCACAGCAGTCATGTACTGAAGCTGCTCTGAACAGCAAGCAATTTTCAGATATAGATTGATACAGCATATAGCAAATCATACAGTTTGCTCGGAAAACTCACCTAAAAGCCACTATAGACCTCACTCTGATCACAGCTACTTCCAGAGGGTAATGGCATTTCCTTGTTTTGTCTTTTCCAATCTCTGGCTTCTCACTGGTTTACTCCCTGGGGGAAGGAATTCTGGCAGATGTCCTCCTCAGCCTTGTCATGATACATAACTGAGGAGAGAGTTCTCTGATCTTGAATTGGAAACAGTCCAGCACAGGTGTCCTGTAGATGCTTCAGAAACAGCATGTGTAAAACTAAACTCTGATTGTCCTCCAAACCAATTTCACAGGCCCTTCATCTTGGTTACTGTGGATTCTAACCCCCCAATTGCTTAGATCCAAAGCCTTAAAACAAACAAACAAACATTGTGTGTTTATTTCATACCTCACATTCAATCTAAACCTGTGTAAAAACAACTTTGTTGAAATATGCTTCATAAACCTAAAATACACTCATGAAAAGTATGCCATTTAAGGTCAACAAGCATTTACTGCTATGCACAATGATAGGATCTGAGGATGCACTGGGGGGTAAGAAAAGGACCCATTTGCCTTCATGAAATGAGTGTGAGAGAAGGGGACAGATGAGCATTAACTAATACATAATTGCACAAATAATTATACTTGACCTTCCATGTGAATGCCATATCCATAGATGCAGTCAACCTTAGACTGAAAATATTCAGAGAAAAAATTTTGTTTTTATGAAACATATCCAGCCTTTTTTCCTCATTATTGTTGATTTGTACTAGGCATTATCAGTTAATGTAAAGACTTCTGAAAGTATACAAAAGGATGCAGATAATTTATATACAAGTACTGTAGTATCTTGTAGAAGAGACAAATACTTGTAGCTCTACAGATTTGGGTATCTTCAGTGAGTGGGACTCGGTGAGGGCTTAAGATTAATTCCCAGAGGATTTTGAGGAATGATTATCCTTTTTATTGTAGAAAGTACTTCAAAAGGAGGAAAAGAGATCAGGTGCTGTATGATTCAGTAACCAAAGGTCATAACCTGGTCTGGGGCTCTGGGCAAGGTCCTTTTAAAAATACAACTTGGACAGCTGAGAGGGATAGGAGCTTGGATTTTAAAATAGGGGGTGCTGGGTTAGGTTTATTCATTGTGACAAACAGACTAATAGAATTTATTAATGTTAAAGAAAGGTGTTGAGCGGTACCTGGGAATTATTAGTATTTTTATGTAAAATATTAATAAATAAATAAACTGATGATTAACATGTAAAACAAATAAAAAGTAGCAGTTTGGCTGAACCCTGGAGGATGAATAAGAATTATAGGTAAAAGGAACAGGGTCAGGTTCAAGCACTTGAATGAAAGTTATTGTGGACAGTTATCTAGGCTGTTTCATTTTCTCACGAATATATGCAATGGTGAATGTCCGTAAATTATGTCATCTTGGCAAATCCCTAGACTTTTTCCTTGGCCGTTATTCCCCAAACAATTCCACTTAAGTAGAATTACACTGTATTAGGTATTGTAAGCAATTTAGAGATGGTTTTAAGAACATAAGAAATATACACAGATGACATACAAATATTATGCTGTTTTACATAAAAAACTTAAATATCCATAGATTTGGGTATTCAGAGATGGATCTTGGAGTCAGTCTCCCCTGAAGCAACTGTAGTTAATCCTAACAGTGTGATTTTTGGTGAACACCTGCTTTTGCTGTGTGTTGCGATTTCAGAACTGAGGAAGAGTAGGCAGGCACTGTGAGCATGTGTAACTCGCCTCCCATAAAAACCATGGACTGTCAGGCTCAAAGAGCTTCCCTGGTTAACAACACACTACCAAGAATTGTCATACAGCATTTTTGGAGGAACAAAAAGTCTGTATTAAAGGATATTGTTATATTACATTTGGCCCTAGGCTACTTCCATATATTGTGAACTGTAACTAACTTAATATGTAAACAAACTACAAAGTAGCTGGAGAGTATATTCTTGTGACAAGTCAGTGAGTTTCGGCCAATGATAGCAGGCCAGCTTTCAGCTAAGCACAGGTTGAAAACTACCAAAATAAGTCCAAATAAAGCAAATGCTGAACTATTACCAATCAGGGTGCTTCTGAATGTCTCTTTCATTGTCTGGGTATAGATATTTCCTGTCCACCTGGACCTCTCTACACCGTCGTTGGTCCTAAGTACTATCTAGTTCATGAAACTTTATTTTCTGTGCTTGATTAAACCGTAATAAATTTACCTTTAAGGTTTTTTTTTTTTTCTCTTCTGAAAAGACTGGTGTCACAAGTGGAATCCAAGTTAGATTTCCAGGGACCTTTAGAAGCACTGGGTGCTTAATTAATATTAATATCTCTGATGCTTTAAGTACCTTTGTTTTCAGAATTTTATTTTAAAGAAATTTATGAGGTATAGTAAGTTTGCTTTGGCAAACTTACTAAAAATCATTTATAGGGTCAAGTTACAACAACATTTGAAATAAGCTCTATTTAATTTTCCTAAAAACAGAAAAGATAAATATTACATACATGTTTAACTTAACCATTTTCTTAAATTTACAAAATAATTTTGTGTAAAATGCTAGTTTCTAAGAAAATTTGTGAAAGGATATTTAAAATTATAAAGCAAGTATAAAGTTCTTTACAGTAAAATCCAAGATACAGTTTTATACATGTAGAAAATTTATCAAAACACACCAATAGATTATAAATATATTTGACAAGCTGACATAGAAAGTACTTTAGAGTTTGTTTAGTTCAACCACCAAAGATGTGAAATGCTTGATGAGATCCAACCTGTAAGGCTAACACACATGATGATTTCCTCCACCTAGATAGGGATCATTTATCTAAAAATTAAAACAAAATCTAAAATAGTGTGATCAGTTTTCTTCATAAAGATTCTTTTATAAGTTCGGCTAATCTCTGGAAAGCCTAAGATAGAAAAGAGATAAGAATTGGTAAAATTAGGATCTCTTTTGTAAATGTCATAACTTTAAAAATTCAAACAGAATACCCATCTGAGATTGAGAGAAGGCAATGAAAACTCAAGATATCACTGGTTTTATCTGGGCAAGAGGCTATCAATATTTAATAAAATACGCAGATTTCTTTTGCTGTTAGAGAAGTCTTAGTCTATATTATTCAAACACATTATAATTTCATATAACCTCTTACCTGCATATGCATTCCACATTTTTTAACTATCCCACTCTACTCAGATATAACATCAGAGAGAACTTATGCAAAGCATATTAAATGACATGAGAAAGCAAGTTAACAAAAGACACACAAATATGTGCATCTCCCAGGGTAAGCTCTTCTTCAGGGCTAAAGTCATGGCTTAATTTATTTGTCAGTTCCTCGTTTGGATTTCCAGACACACAGCTCTTAGCATCTTGCTTCTTTTCATCCTGCTCTGTTAATGAAAACTAGACTTCACTGATTTACCCTCCCCAATACTATTTTCTTCAGAGAAACAGAGTGATGACTATCATGAATCTGTCCTTTTTCCTAACTCCATGAAGAAAGAGTAAGGTTCTTCTCATGATACATTGATAACCTGCCAACACTGCTCCGTAGGTTCTGAAAGTTATTCATGAAGACAGCAAACTTGAACTCCAACTTAGTCTTGTTTGTACCAATCTAGTCACAGAGTGAAAGAGATCTTTAATGTTAGTTGATGATTGGCTAATGTTAAATGAGTTTTTCAGAGACCTAAGAAGACATTAAGCTGTGTTTTAATTTATGAGGTAGGCAATCACACCCAACCAGAATTGCCAGTTACACTGTGAAGAGAATACACTACTCACCACATCCATCTGTTCTGGGGAAACTACGGAGAAGGAAGCTCTCAGGTAAGGGCTGGGAGCAGAGCTGTTGGAGTAGAAACCATTTCCTGGAACCAGTAACACCTAAGGGAGTTGGCAAATAAGTGCTGTACCATGAAAGAAAAACTAGAAAAATGCAGCAAACCTAATCTTAGAGAAAGGAAGGCTATTTTAAATTTAAAAATATTCAAAGAGGGGCCAGCACAATGGCTCAGTTGGCTAATCCTTCGTCTCCACGTGCAAGGATCTCATATGGGTGCCAGGCTATGTCATGCCTGTTCTGTTTTCTGTCTAGCATCCTGTTTTTAGCCTGGGAGGGCAGTGGAGGATGTCCCAAAGTCTTGGGTCCTGGACCTGTGTGGAACACCTGGAAGAAGCTCCTGGCTCCTGGCTTTGGATTGGCTCAGGCGTGGCTGTTACATCATTTGGCAAGTGAGGCAGTAGATGGAATATATTTCTGTCTCTCTGCTTCCCATAAATCTGCCTTTCCAATAAAAATAAATCTTTTTAAAAAATAGTCAAAGAAATCTCAGTAGAAGAATAAAACACTCTTCTAAAAGTTGGATATGTTAATGCACAGGAAGAGAAAAAAACTCCAAATCTAGGTTTAATGTGTAAAGCCAGCTGATTAAGGAAACAAAAATAAGCATAAATATAAATCAAACTTTCATCTAACTAGAATAGTAATAGTTCAAACAATTAAGCACCATTTTTAAATGGCCAAAGTTGAAAATGATTTTGAAGCTGAAAACTGAAAGACAGGTACCAGGTAAAAAGTGGAGATGAACATTTTAGCAAAATACTTAGAGGAAAGGCACTGAGATTGGAAGAGAATTAGTGTGTCCCAAGAATTGAAACGGTAAAAAGAAATCTAACACAGAAAGTGAAGCACTAAAACTGTTAGAAATTATGTAAGATAGAGTGGTGAGAACTATTTCTAAAAATTATTTACACAAGTTGAACTTCATGTATTTCATAAATACAGATTTAGAAGCCTAGTGATACTTCCTATGCCCTCTCTCCCTTCTGCTTGCATTCCCACTCTTTCTCCTTTTTTTTTTTTTTACTTTTACAATGACATACTCTCAGTTTATTTTATAATCATTGGCTTACCCCTCCACTAGGTAAATAATTTAATAAATAGTAGGTAGAAAAATACACTGTTCCTTAGGAATATTGATGAGGGCTGTCAGCAATGATCAAATCTCAAAATGTCATTTTACCCATACACATTATTGTTTACATGCTAGAGTTTAGTTACTGCAAATCAGGGAAACATGATATTTTTCTTTCTTGGAATAGGCTTATTTCACACAGCATAATGGTTTCCAGTTGCATCTGTTTGTTGCCAGGGACAGGATTTCATTTTTTTGGCTGAGTAGTATTCTGTAGTCTGTGTGTATGTCTGTCTATCTGTCTACATATCACATTTCCTTAACCAGTCATCCATTGATGGACATCTGTGTTGATTTCATGTTTTAGTTATTGTGAATTGCACTGCAACAAAAGGGGTACAGCTACCTCTTTGATATGCTTTTGATATGTTTTTTAATTTCTTTTGGGTAAATTCCTAGAAATAGAATTAGTCACATGGTAGAACTATTTTCAGATTTCTGAGAAATTTCCATACATTCCCATCAACAGATTTGGGTAGATTTCCCACACAACATCCTCATTGTCATTTCTTTTTTGATTTTTGGATGATAGCCATTCTAACTGAGATGAGGTGAAACCTCCTTGTGGTTTTCATTTGCATTTGCCTGATGGCTTGTGATACTGAGTATTCTTTTAAATGTCTGCTAGCCATTTGAATGTCATCCTTTGAAAAATGCTTGTTCAAGTCCTTTGCCCATTATTGAACTGAACTCATTGTTTTGTTGTTATTGAGTTTCTGGAACTCTTTATAGAATCTGGATATTAATTGTTTATCAGTGCATTGATTGCAATTATTTTCTCCTGCTCTGTTAGTTGTCTGTTCCACTTTGTTGAAGGTTTGATTTGCAGTGCTGTGGCTTCTTAGGTTGATGTAATCTCATTTTTTTTTTTGTAATGAAGGGCACAGTGACACACCTGGATCTGGGAGCTGGAAGATGAGTTTGTCCAATTCACTGGTTTACTCTAAATGCTTGCAACAGTTGGGACTGTGCTGGATGAAGCTGGAAAGCAAATTCAGGTCAGCCATGTAGTAGGCTGAGCAACAAAGCAATGCTTTCTCCCTTGGTTCACACTCTTAGGAAGCTAGAATCAAGAGACAGAGCTGGGAATCCAACCCAGGCCAGCTCTTCCCACTCGTTTCCTTAACCTAGCTTCTTTCTTGTCATGAATGACAGCTTGAACAAATTCTGTGTTCTGTCCATAAAAACCTTCCCATGAATGAACCACAGCACTGTTTCCTTGTTGTAGCAATCATGGATCAATGCAGTGAAGGTTAAAATGTAATAATAAATAGCCAGGGTCCCTGATAATCTATTGTATTAAGTTTTTGAGACTTTGGGATTTTATCTTTCATAGCAGCTGGTATTAAATAAGATAATTTTAGCCTTTTTTGTTATTTTAATCATAGTATTCAAAAACATGTAATGAGCATTTGTGGTGACATAATATGAATTGATTACTGGTTGCTATCATAAGATGAATTGATGGAAATGAGTTGGAACATTCTTGAAAGGATTTCAAGACAAAAGATATGTCCCTTCATTCTGGTGAACAAGAAAACGAAAGTTACTATTTCTGTCAGTATGTAGTGGAAGAATGTCAGTATGTGAGGAAGAAAAGAAAAAAGAGTATCTCCTTACAAGCTGACCAAAATCTGGGCTGAAGTAGCAGGATACACTTCAAAATAATGCAGAAAAGGTAAAGGAAGAAGCAGCAGGACAGAGAGAATAAAAAACAATGGCTGAAAAATCTGTAGTAAAACATGAAGACTACATTCTTACCCCTGCCAGTTAGCCCAGAGATATAGATTGTGACTTACGGAATGATTTTGATGATAACGGCATTGATAAAAAAGCAAAACATCAATAACTTCATTGCATAGAACTGTGAGTGTGAGAAATGAAATTCTTTATTGATTATCTACTATGTGTTGTTATTAAGATTAGAATGAAAACAGCCTGATTTCTACCCTCAAGTCAGATGAGTCTGAAAGATAATGACCTTTCCAAGGGTTGTTATGATTTTTAATAAGTTAACATTGGTAAAGTATGAAGACTAGTAATAAATGTTTAATAAGTTTTAGCCACTAGTATTTGAAATGGAGGACATTTCCCCAATAATTGAAAAGATACACTCATAGCAGGGAATTTGAAGAATGCTTAAAGGTATAATAAAAGAATTTTAAAATAGTTCATTAGTACATTATCATCCATCCATTTCAAATACTAATAGTAAATACTTCCTGAGCCTTAGTCTGTGTGCTACATATTAATTCATTAACTCATCGAAGGATTTCCAATGAGAGGGATTCTTCTTACTTTATCTTATAGATGAAGCACTGGGAGACTGACCCCAGGCCACAAGGATGGAGCTGGGATTCAAACTCAAGACTTTCCCCTTCAGTGCGTGCTCTTAACCTAAGCTATGCAGCAGTTACCAAAAAAAAAAAAAAAAAAAAAAAAGGGCTGTATTTCAATTCATTTAGACTAGCTAAAGAATTAGGAAACCCAAAAAATCCACTTCAAGTTTTAACAATGAGACAATGAACTTAATACTAGAATATTCCAAGTTGGGTGGTAGGTAGCAACAATCATGTCTTTAGTTTTAGTTGAGTAAAGTGTTACTTTTTATAAATATGAATTTTCTTTGGTTCTTCTCTCCAATTATCAGTCCCAGTTTTACCTCTTTCTCAATGGCTTTTTCTTCAATCAGTTCTTTTACATCAGAAATGCCCTTAACTTTAATCCACAGAAACATTCCAGCAGTGGGAAGATGCCATTCTGCCAAACCTGCAAACAAAAGAAAATGAAAATCTTCCTAGACCATTCCTGACATCAAGTACATTGTAAAATCACCTAGGTGCAGGAATTATAAGTTAGCACTCCCAAAAATGTGATAGTACTTCAAAAAATTTTCATGGGTCTTGAAAAATTGTATTCTGAATTTATTTCAAAGTCTGCGTTGAGGGAACGGGGTGAGAGATGTAGAGGAAAGTTGAATTGTTCCTCCAAGCATATTTACAATTGCTAATCTTAGGGAGCAAGAAATCTAATGCTGCTCTTTCCTTAGTTATACTATCTAAGACAAATATTCACAGGGATGTTTCAGTTTAGTCCTTTTATTAAAAAATTAAAAACTCATTGTTTGAGCAGCATGGAAAGGGACAGAGAGAGCAGAGAGAGAGAGAGAGAGAGAGAGAGAAAGAAAGCTGAGAGAAAGAAAGCTGAGCACCTGAGCTCTGCCATCCACTGGCTCCCTCCTCAAATTCCTACAGAGACTGAGATTGGCCTAGGACAAAGTAGGTGCTGGGAACTGAATCCAGGTGTCCCACATGAGTGAGGGATGCAATCACTTGAGTTATTGTTGTGGCGAGTCAGGCTCTGCATTAGCAGGGAGATGGAGCCAGGAACTGAAACTGACAAGCAAACTCAGGCCCTCTGCCATGCTCATAGGTCGGACTCCCACCCCATTTCAGATTTAAAGTAGGATTCTTAAAGTATTTCTAGAGTTTTACCATATGTCAGTAAACTTTTTTTTTAAAGATTTATTTTTATTATTTTTTTATTGGAAAGGCGGATATACAGAGAGGAGAGACAGAGAGGAAGATCTTCCATCCGATGATTCACTCCCCAAGTGAGTGCAACGGGCCAATACTATGCCGATCCAAAGCCAGGAGCCTCTTCCGGGTCTCCTACGCGGGTGCAGGGTCCCAAAGCTTTGGGCCGTCCTCGACTGCTTTCCCAGGCCACAGGCAGGGAGCTGGAAGGGAAGCGGGGCTGCTGGGATTAGAACCGGCGCCCATATGGGATCCCGGGCGTGCAAGGCGAGGACCTTAACCACTGTGCCACCGCGCCGGGCCCAGTAAACTTTGTTATGTATATAACAGTTCAGATGTCCAATGGGTTACTTTTTTAATCAGCATATAATTATGAAAAAAGCGCTTAAAATTTAAGAATTTCAGATTTGCTTTCATGTTTCACTGAGTATAATAATAGAAAAATCAAGAAGAAAATAGAACTGTTGTTAATCATTATCATGTTGCAAAAGAACTTGCTGTTGGTGAAAATTTTTAAGAGTTGTTTTTGTTGTTGTTGTTATTGGAAAGGGAGATTTATAGAGAGAAGCAGAGACAGAGACAAAGATCTTCCATCTGCTAGTTCGTTCCCAAAGTGGCTGCAATGATGAGAGTTGAACTGATCCGAAGCCTGGAGCCAAGAGCTTCTTCTGGGTCTCCCACATGCAAGTGCAGGGTCCCAAGGCTTTGGGCCATCCTCTTCTGCTTTCCCAGGCCACAAGCAGGGAGCTGGATGGGAAGTGGGGCTGCTGGGACAGAAACTGGTGCCCATATGGGATCCTGGCACATGGAAAATGAGGATTTAGCTATTGAGCTATCGTGCCAGGCATGAAAGCTTTTTCTTTAGCTCTACCATACAAAGTGGTAGGGCAGAATTTTAATCAAAGGGTAACCTTAATTTATAAAGATTTTATAGGGAATTGGATATTACAAAAGTAATTGATACTTTGATATGCCTATATTCAAACTGAAGATGTTTTTAGTGATAAACAAGGGTATTAAAAAGTTTATGGGTGGGCCTAGCTAAATCCTTGCCTTGTATGCACTGGGACCCCATATGGGCACTGGTTCAAGTCCTGGCTGCTCTACTTTCCATCCATCCAGCTCCCTGCTTGTGGCCTGGGAAAGCAGTAGAGGACGGCCCAAAGCCTTGGGACCCTGCGCCCGTGTGGGAGACCTGGAAGAAGCTCCGCGCTCTTTGGATCAGCTCAGCTTTGGCAGTTTTGAACATCTGAGGAGTGAAACAAATGATGGAAGAATTGTCTGTCTCTCCTGTTTGTAAATCTTTCCGATAAAAATAAATACATATGTTTAAATTTTATAGAAAGAAGAAATAAAAAGTAAGTATATTTTGTTGCAAAAAAAAAGTTTGAAATCCACAAATAGTTTTTTCAAAAAATATGCACTTTTTCATGTATATTTGAAGGTCCCTCATGGATTTTGCACCAAAATAAACTCAAATTTTATTTCTATTTTTTCAGAACTTTTTCAAATATCTGATAATTAAAGCCATTTAATTATTCTAACTTCCATTAAAAAAAATAAAGATAGAGGCTGGTGCTGCAGCATTACAGGTAAAGTCACTGCCTATAATTGTCAACATCTTACATAGGTGCCAGTTCAAGACCCAGCCACTCCACTTCCAATCCACCTCCCTGCTAATGGCCGGGAAAAATAGTGGAAAATGGGCCTAAGTGTTTGGGTTCCTGCTACACATGTGGGAGACATGGAAGAAGCTCCTGGAATTTGGCTGCAGATGGTTCCAGCTCTGGTCATCGTGGCCTTTTTTGGGGACTGAACCAACAGAGGAAAGCTCTTTCTGCATCTCTCCTTTCCTCCTTCCTCTCTCTGGAGCTGTGCCTTTCAAGTAAAATAAATAAATCTTCAAAAAATGTAAACTTTGCAATATTAGGAAAAGATAACATTGAAAAATTAAGTGATATTAACAATTAGAAGAAAATGTGTTGAAAGCTCTCCTAAGATAATATCTCTGAAAAATTTTCAAAAACTTTATGGAAATCACATATTTTGAAAAAATTTATGGACTTCCAAAAAGTTGTTGTATCAAAATACATTTATCTTTTAATTCCATTTTTTTAACTTTTTGAAGCCCCTATATTTATATCGCTTAACTAGAAATGGAATATGTTGTTTGATATTTTCTCTTCTATCTGTGGCAAATTCTGAAATGATGCAAACATTTTTGAATGTTTAAGACATTATTTATTTTAATAAGTTATTGCTGTTTGATTTTTGGATTTTTCTTTTAAATCACAAATTCTAGGCAGCAGGTGAGTAGAGACAGGTTACCCTGTGCCAGCATTTATAGAGAGTCACTTGCATGATCACTGAGAGGATAACATTTCCTGGGAAAAATATCCTTGAACTGTTGCTCTGCTTCCACCAGGGTGGTTAAGAATCTATGTGCTAGGCCCGGCGGCGTGGCCTAGTGGCTAAAGTCCTTGCCTTGAACAGGCTGGGATCCCATATCGGCGCCGGTCCTAGTCCCAGCAGCTCCACTTCCCATCCAGCTCCCTGCTTGTGGCTTGGGAAAGCAGTGGAGGATGGCCCAAAGCCTTGGGACCCTGCACCCACATGGGAGAACTGGAGGAGGTTCCTGGTTCCCGGCTTCGGATTGGCGCAGTACCGGCCGTTGCAGTCACTTGGGGAGTGAATCATCGGATGGAAGATCTTCCTCTCTGTCTCTCCTCCTCTCTGTATATCTGACTTTGTAATAAAAAAATAAAATAAATCTTTAAAAAAAAAAAGAATCTATGTGCTGGGCCTGGTACAGTAGCCTTGTGGCTAAAATCCTTGTCTTGCACGCACTGGGGTCCCATATGGGTATTGGTTCGTGTCCTGGTGGCCCTACTTCCCATCTAGCTCCCTGCTCATGACCTGGAAAAGCAGTAGAGGGTAGCCCAAAGCCTTGGAACCCTGTACCTGTGTGGGAGTACAGACCCAGAAGAAGCTCCTGGCTTCTAGCTCAGATCAGTGCAGCTCTGGCCATTGTAGCCACTTGGACAGTGAATCAGTGGATGGAAGATATTCCTCTCTTTTTCTCCTCCTCTCTGTATATCTGAGTTTGCAATATAAAAATCAATAAATCTTAAAAAAAAGAATCCGTGTGTACCCTCTACTTTCGCAGGGGTGGCGCATGTGTGGTCCACTCACCGCTTAGCCACTTGTCTGCAGCTGCCAGTGCTGCATCCCTCTGGTTCCTATAGAAATGAACAACCCTATAAAAAGAACGCAGCAGAAAGGATGTGTTCAGAAAGGCACTGGGCTCCAGGCTGTGTGAACTTGCTGTCTATCTTGATTAAGAATACAGAGCATTTCTGTTTTAAGTCTGTGTGGTGATAAACTGGTTTGCCATTGTGTTTTCTCCTTTATTGTGGGATAACTACACTTGATCTTAGCCAAAAGGCCAAGAAGCAATATTGTGGGATAACTAAACAAATGAAAATGAAGAGAACAAAGTCTACTTTTTCTTTTTTTTTTTATAAAATCTGTTTCTGAGTAAATAATGGAACAAAAAAGTAGCAAGAATTATTTTTTGTGTTTAATTTTCTAAAGTAATGACCCTTACAGTTTATTATTAAATAAAATGTTTGTAAGTATGATTGTTTACCTTCTAAATCAGCTGAATATGTTAATGGTAACCTGGTAGGGAATTTCAGATTACCTTAGATGTAGAAGCATTCTGCTTTCAAAAGATAGCTTGTGTACTCCTAACAAGATTTTCCAGGTAGAGATCTAATAAAATGCATATATGTTTGATTTCTAACAAATGGTTGCTAGTGTCTGTCTTAGATACTTAAGGTAAAACAATGAATCAGTATTCTGGGTACACTGTCCTTTATCTACTAGATTACTGTTTTGTCTACAATTTAGAAATGTTTTAATACCTGTCTATGTGAGCTAGGAAACCATCTTGTCCCCACTGGTGTAGAAGCTGGTATATCATAAGCTAAAAGAAATAATAATAAATGTTATGGTTTTTCCTCTGAGGTATTTTTTGCCAAGCAAAAGAACAAGTTAGTCTTCATTACATGTAAGCCAGTAAAAAGATCTAACTTGTACCTGCCTTTTATAGTAAGTTAGAGTTATAATAAGTGTTAATTGATAAGAATCACAGAATAGTAAGAATAACAACTATTTTATATAGTACTTGTTAAGTGTCAGGCCCTACTATAATCCACTGGCTATATTTTGATTAATTTAACCTTAATAAGAATCTAACTTTATAGGCTATTTCTGTCTTACTGATGATGAATTGAGCACAAAGGTAAATTTCCTTGTGGTCATACAGCCAGGATTCAAAGTCAAACTTTCAAAGCAGATAAACGTTGTTAACTACCAGACTATCCATCTTCTCTAAATATATATGGTATATGGATAAACACAGGGAGTGCATTTGGAGATTTACTCTTTAAAAATAGAAGTTCTAGAAGTTACAGATAATGAAGTTTTGTTGGTAATGTATATAAAAAAACCTGAAAAAGTTCCGAACTTTAAAAGCATGCAGATATATGTGCTTACTTTTATGTGCCAAACTAATGTCTTAAGTGACACAAACATTTCTATTAATACTGAATCTTGTATGGCTTTTAATTAAAAAGATTATTTATTTGAATTTTGTTTGTAAAACAGAGCAGGAGAGAGACAGTCAGCAGTAGGAGAAGCAGGATAAAGAAGGCAAGGTAGAGGGAGGTGGAGGGGGACAGGGAGGGAAGGAGAGAGAAGAAAGGAGAAGGAGAGGAAGAATGTTTTATGCCAAACTCTACTTTTTATTCAGATTTTTTTTAAAAAAATGTCTATTTACTAAACTGCACTTACCTGTGTAAAAGTGCTGGTGTGCAATGATGACACTTGGGTGTGTAAAACAACTCTTTCTATCAAGGGCTTGGGGCCAGTTATAAACCCCACTCTCAATCTACACACACACACACACACAAAGAAAAAAGGAACATTACTAATGCCATATTAATAACTGATACATATCATCTGATTGATTTCCTTAGGAAGAGTGTGGTGGCCTGGGGACAAACAGATCTAGGAAGCTGAAACATTCTGGTACAACCACTTCAACCATAAATGTAAGTGTATGTGTAGTTTAAAAATATAATGCAAGTCTGATCAAGAGCTTCCAGATGTGCTTCTTCATGTGTGACACCACAACCTTGATCAGTCCCTACGTTTAGATGAGTGGCCAAGCATCTTTGGCTAGGGAGATGACTAAAGAAAAGGTCTATATTCATATTAATAATCAAACTGGCATTTTCAGGCAAGAGGATGAAAAACAATTTACATGAAAAGAATTTTTTGGGATTGGATATTGAGGCAGAGTCTACTTAGATATGTTTCAGTTTAGCTATATGGACCTTACCCAGAGGAGAGGACTTTTGAGAAAGAATCGGCTCTGATGACGCGCCCGTCAACATCCATGGATAGAAACGTTGGTGCCCAGGGCTTAAAAAAATAAAATAAAAGTGTTGGTTTGGGATTAGGGAATCCTCAAACAGGTCTTCCTTGTCCCAACAGTGGAAAACCAGGATTAACAGATTTAGAGGCAAAGGTTAAGAACAACAGTAAGAGAGTCAGTAGCATTTAGAGTTGTAAAGAGAAAGAATTCAGATCTCTACACCTAATAGAAAAATGAAAAAATGGGGATAGAGAAATTTAGTCAGCATGAAATATTGATAGCTGTGTTTACAGGTAAAAATAGGAAAAGGGCTTATCCTGGAGTGTAATAGATTGGCAGAATAATGTTTTGCAAACTATAGAAAAGCAGAGAATTTCTCTTTTCAGTAGACTTAAATCAGGGATTGGGAGAGGAAGGAAGGAAATCTCAGAATATATTCCCTGTAGCAGTGTGAACAAATGGAGAATTTTATTGGATTTGGGTGACTCCAGCACTGGTGGTCTGTACCACTCCTGTGTCTATTAGAAAACAGTCATCATGACAAGCAGTCTATGTATATGGGGAGAATGAATCTAAATTCGCATTGCACTTCAGGTAAGAGCTAGGACATTACAGAGGTGTCATAACTGTTGCCTACTGTCTGTGTCCATAACAGACATCACTGATTGAACACAGCTCTTTCTGTCTTGCACATTTATTCTTCTCAGCCATCATTCTAAGTCAGTCCCTATCGAGAGAGTGAAGTTGACATCCAGAGGAGCCCAACTCAGGATCTGTGGTTGAAGAGTACCAGTCTAGCTCCACTTACCCAGATGCACGGCACAGACAACGAGCTACTACTTCCAATGTAAGTGATTTTTGGAAAGAGGAACATATTATCAGAAATGAAAAGTACTAACTGTATGACAAACCTGGAAGACTAAGGTTCTTGCAGTTGAAATATATTACATTTAATTTCAATGCCAAATTGGATTAGCTCAATTTAGCAGCTAAATCCATTATCAAACACAGTAAAGCAAGTTAAAACAACTTATGTTCTAATAGTGAAACATGCCCACCTCATTACTTACCTTGTTAAACTGGAGAAAATAGTAAGGATCATCTTCTATTATGAGAAAGTCATATTTTCTTCCAAGCTAAAAGATTAAGGTAGTGTATTTACTTTAAAGGATTTCCAAAATTATTTGGAATTTTATGTATTTATTCATTTAAGAAACTACTGAATGCCTATTGTTGCAGAAGTCGGGGTAAAGACATGAAAAAGGCACTATTAAGATTCTTGTTCTAATGGAAACCTCATTCTTGTGGGAAAGAACAGAGAATAAGGATAATAAACAAAAGTACCATTAGGGGTGGGCATTTGATTTGGTGACTAAATTGCTGCTTGGGATGCTGCAGCCTGTATCAAACTCTAGGTTCTGCTTGGAATTTCAGCTTTCTGTGCATGCACACCCTGGCAGGCAGGAGGTAATGGCTTTAGTAGTTGTGTCCCTGCCACCTTTGCAGCACTTGAGCTGAGTTCCTGGTTCCTGGATTTGCCCTGGCCCAATCCTGGGTGTTGTGGGCATTTGGGGCAGTGATCCAGCAGATAAGGGATCTCTGTAACTCTGTCTACTTTTCAAATAAACAAACAACAAATATATTAGATGGAGAGGGTTGTTTATATGCTTAGCAGAGAACTATATTGGTCAATTTGAGACAGAAACAGGATAGTTACTTTGGTTAACCATTGAGCAGTCCTTTCTGACAGGAGCTCAGGGAGTCAGCTGTACAAGTATCAAGGAAGATTCTGCACTGAAGGATAAGTGAGAACAAAGGTGGGAGCAAAAAGCTTGGCAGACATAAAGAATAAGAGGCCAGCATGGCCACAGCCAGAAGAATTACAACATTTGTAAATTCTTTTTAATGTCAAAGAATGTAAAAGACAGAATCCTGTCAGAGCTGAGGTTGTGACATGCAGTGGGATAGGGTCATTCTTGGCTGTTATGTGAAGAATGACTGGTGGGAGCCCAGGTGTGAAATCGACTGCATGCCAGGAGGAAGTTCTTGTAGAGGTTCTGTATTGTTAGTGGGAAAGGAAGTTGGAAGGTGGAGTTGTTATGGTAGCAGAGAAAAATGGATGGGTTCAGATAAACTCAGTGGTGGGTTGTACAGGATAGACTGAATGGGGGAAGGAGAGAAAGGAAGAAGATTGGGGGTAGCAGTTCATGGTCATGTTAGTTGTGGGGATGAAACATGGGAATGGCTGTGGATAAGATGCTTGGGAAGATCAGGAGTTGTAGTTTGGCCACATTGAGTCTGAATGCCTATTTGACATCACATCAGAGGTGTCTAGTAGACAGTTGGATACTTAAGCCTGGAGTTCCAGGAAGAACATGGGACAGGATGGGAGTCGTCATCCACAGAATGGGACTGAGCAAGGAACAGGATGAGACTTCTTGGCGAAGTGTGTAATGGAGTAGGGAAGAGAACTCCAAACCAGCCATATCTAACAATAGGAGAGTTATCTTGAAATTTATATTTTCTAAGCACAAGAAACTGCTGAAAAGTTCTCTTTGATTCAACTGCATAGGATTAAAATTTTCCCTTTAACATTGTTTTTGGACTTATTCTAAAGAGCTCTTTGGAGTAAAATGTTATGGAGAACTGTCAGGTGCATTAAGGAGACTCCACAAAAGTCAAATTTCTCTTAGTTTTCAAAGATTTCTGTATAGCTCAATAAATTCTTGATGCTTAAAAATATTTGTAGCTAAAAGTTAAGCTCTTTATATACTTAAAAGAAAATATACAAAACAGAGGAATAGCTTCTTATTTTAGACAGTTCTTAGTAACCTGAAATGACAAACTGTAGGAACCTGAGAGCCAAGTAAACAACTCAAAAATAAAACAATAAAAATCAAATGAGGTCATATATTAAATAATTTCATAACATTTGACATCAGGACAAAAATAATTATTCTTTTATACTAAAACACCAATTGAGAGAAAAGAGAGAGCATGCATATTTAACAAAAGAAAATAGTAACTTATTGCATCCTAATTTATTGGTCCTTGGCATTCATGACTTCCAGTTATTCAAAATTATCTTCCTTGGAAATAATAAGTAAGGGAATTTGCCAAGTGTTCTTCCAAGTGACCGGTAAGTAGCAGCAACATAACCATTTCACCCATTTCTTGCAAATACCTCATAGATTTCCTTTTTGCGTTCGCCTGTTAATGAGTTTCCAGTAGGGTTGTTGCCATTTGGGACAGTGTAAAGCAACTTGGGAGTGTTCTTCTTAGGATTCTTTGCATCTTCTGGTTTCCATTGGGAAAGGATTTCTTTGAGGGAGGCTGGAATCATCCCATATTCATCACTGGCAACATTAATAATGTTGCACCCCAGGGGTAGCAGCTGTTGAGCACAGAAGGAAAGTCAGAATTAGGCAAGAGCATGTATAAGTGTCATTAGGTTTTGGTTTAATACTAAGTAAGTGATTACTGCTGATCCCCTGAAACCTAGAAAGCTAATCTCACAGCTAAATCCCAGAGCACAAAGTTGTTGATTTTCACTCTGTGGTTTTTCTGGTGTGGTTTCCATGATTGTTCAAAAATAATTCCTGTTCTAGGATGGGCATGGTGGCATAGCAGACAAAGCAGTTGCTTGTAATGCTAGCATCCCATATGGATGCCAGTTGTGCTCTCTTAGCTCCAGTTCCCACACAGATTCCTGCTAATCGCCTGGGAAAAGCAGTAGAACATCACTCAGGTGCTTGGGCCCTTGCCGTTCATATGGGAGACCTGGAGGAACCTTCTGGCTTCTGGTTCCTGGCTTTGTCTTGGCCCAGAACTGGTTATTGGGGATATATAGGGGAGTCAACCAGCAGATGAACCCATTACCTGCTCCTTAACTGACATTCAATTATACAAATAGATTTCAGAAAAAAAAGGACTATACTTTCTTGCCCCATTTATTAAAAGTTAATTAATTTGTCTTAAAGGTAGAGTGACAGAAACATAGAGATCTTTTATCCATTGATTAAATACCAACAACAGCTAGGTTTTGATTGCCTGAAACTAGGTTCCAGGAACCATGTCTCTTACATAGATAACATAAACCCAAGTACCTGGGCCATCATCAGCTGTTTCTTAGGTGCACAGCATGAAGCTGGATCAGGAGTAGCTGGGACTAGAACTAGGCACCAGATATTTGATGGGGATGCCCAAGTGTCAGCTGTTTCTGACATTCCTCACACTGCCCTCCTATCCCCTTACATTGGGTGTGTCTATGTATTCTTACTCTGCGTGAAGAACTGTGAAAAGAACTCTCATATTTCCAGATGTAGGAGTTTTTTTCAGAGCAGAATTTTAAAATCCAGCTTGTATCTGGCTCTCTGTGCCTCTTTTCCCTCTGCTGTGAGATGGGTAGTGTTTCCTGGTAATTCTCCTTCTGTGACCTAGGGTTGCAAGTGAAGATGCCATGGAGCCACATGGTCTTGTGGTGGCATGTAGAGAAAAAGACAGGAAGCTCTGCAGCAGGCAGCTACTGAGACGTTGGGGTCCTTTGTTCCACAGCGGATCTAGTCCTTTGAATGGAATTACCTTTATTGAGATAATTGGCTCTGGTTTATAAACTGTGAACTCTGAGCTTGTGTGGTGAAGTTCAGCATTTCATGTCCCCTGTTAGTCAGGGAGACTGAAGGTTACAAAGACCTTACCTCAGGTCACAGTCATTTTTCCCCAAGTTCTACTTTTTAAGTTCCATCAACTTAAGGACATGGGACAAATAAATCTTAATCATCTGTCATGTGACTTTTATATACTTGAGAGAAATTCTGTGTCTGTTAAATCTTTTTAACTGCAATCCCTAAACCATTCATCGTGCGCCGCAGTTTCCATTTCTGTTCATTCTGCTCACATTTCTCTGAATGTGCTCACTTGTGAACACTTGTGTCCTAAAGCAGAGAGCTCCAAAGAAATCTGATTGCCACTGGTGTGTTACGATCAGTGCACAGCACACTAGGATATCAGATTTCTCATTCTGCATACTACTATTCTCTTGACTTAAACTTGAGATTTCAAAAACAATTGGTGGTCAACCCTGTCTAGTTAGTATCCATTTTCCTTACTGAGTGCCTGGATTTTTTTTTCTTTAAGATTTATTTATTTTTATTGCAAAGTCAGATATACAGAGAGGAGGAGATACAGAGAGGAAGATCTTCCATCTGATGATGCACTCCCCCAGTGACTGCAACAGTCTGTGCTGCATGGGTGCAACTTTTCAAGGCTTTGAGCCATCCTTGACTGCTTTCCCAGGCCACAAGCAGGGAGCTGGATGGGAAGTGGAGCTGCCAGGAGTAGAACCAGTGCCCATAAGGGATCCTGGTGTGTTCAAGGCGAGGACTTTAGTCACTAGGCCACACTGCCCTGGGCCCGAGTGCTGGATTCTTGTCCTGAGTGGGCTACCAAGTTTCATGTACCTCTGGTCATGGTTCAAGTTGTTGTGTCCCACTCCCATGGGAGAACAGGGTTGCGTTCCTGGCTTCCTGCTTCAGCCTTACCTGTTTAGGTTGTAGACATCTAAGGAGGTAACTAGTGAATGGGGGTTTTATGTCTATTTTCCCCTTTGTGTTTTTGCCTCTTAAAGAAAAAGCATAAAGAAGATGGAATATTTACTATATTTTAAATATATATCATTTAAGATTTTGTTTCATACTTGAGAGAAGCCACTTTATTTTTCAGTGGACAGATGCTTCTATAGGGGCAATATTTTCTTCTTTCCTTATAGTGAGAGTGGTATTATTTGAAGTAGCATGTACTTACAGCTTGAAGTGTTCCTGAATAAACAGGTTCATTCACGAGAATATTATCCCCAGGGTTAATGATCATTTCAAATGCCTAAGAAAAAAAGCGTGGGTTAGGTGGGACAATACAATTTCCATTCTCAGAACCCCCTTTGGAAGCCTGGGTTGAAGGCTTTCTGGAGTAGAGACATCAAGTCTCTGCTTCTATAGTGAGACAGTAGTCACTGACAATACATGCACACATGGGCATCGCCGAGCCCCAACACAACTTCATTTACTCAGAAAATTACAAAAATGCTGGATTCAACTTTCAAGTCATTGTCTGCCAGTCTCTAGAGTCAGGAGAGCATGAAAATAACTGTTGTGGCTCCTAAAATTCATTTAATGTTTTATTGCTTCTTTGAAAATATATTAAATATCCTCTGTGATACTTAATATCAAGGTACTGTGCAAAATACTGTGGTCCTCACTCTCTTGGAGCTACCAGTCCACTGGGAAAGTTAGCAACTGATCAAATAATTACCCAAGCAAGAATATTAGTATGAGCGGTAGAGAGTGTGATTAAGTACAGAGGTTTAAAGTTCCAACAGTTCATCGCAGGAGGCACTGGGCAGTCAGGAAGTTCAGAAAAGGCTTCCTTGAGTGAGTGATGAGCTAGTGTCAGGGGAGGCAACAGGTACATTTTGAGCAGCTGGAAAAAAGATTTGGGATCTAAGGGAGTGCAAAGTGGAGATTAAATGAGACTGGAAAGCTGTGGGCTGAAAGTCCCCCATGTTAGGCATTTCAGTCAATAAAGCTGAGTAGTAATTTTAATAAAGGATAGGGAGAGAAGAGTCATGTGATCAGACATGCATTTTAAAGGAATCAATCTGGCATTCATCCTATGAAGAGTCTGGGAAATTTTTAGGATTGTTTGGGAAATTATTGCTTCAGTTTTAAGACAGCTGAAGGTAGTAGTAAGTGTTGTAGTGGAATTAAGCAGAATAGCTGGGGATGTACAGGAAATAAAACCCAGCAGAACATGATCATGGACCATGTGTTAGTGAGGAAGAAGAAGTCTTAGAAGTGGCTCCTAGATTTCTAATTGTGGAACTATAGGTGATGGCAATGGTGCCCTTCACTGAAATACCGGAAACAGGTTTTCCATATCTGAGTGAGATGACGAAGGAGCCATTTTGGCTTAGGTACCTTTGAAATAATAATGGTTTCAGAAAGCAGGACAACCTGATGTGGAAGGAGCTTGGCATTTACTAGCATTTAGAGATCACCAGTATGTGAATGGATGTACCAAGGCATGGGTAGATCCTGGAGTGATGGTCAAGGACTGTGGCTTGGTGTTCAAGTAGTGGAGAGTACTTCAAACAGGCAAGAGAAGGCTGGAAAAGAGACCACCGGGTGCAGAGATAGCCAGAGGAGAATGTTTAGAGAGGACACAGCGGCTGAAAGTGTCATAGATACTCAGGGTCAAGGACAACCAGGTTAGACAAGTCAGGACATTTTAAGGACATTAGACACATACAATAAACGTTTCCAGTGTAAATCACAGTTGTCTATTATCTGGCACAAAATACTCCTCTTTCCCCTTCTGATCATCACAATTCCCATTTAAGGCCTCACTTTCTATCACTTTAACAACCTGCATCTTACGACAAACAGGAGCACTGTAATCAATTGGGATAGATTGGTTTTTGTTCCCCAATTTGATCCATAATGTTCAATTTATGGATTTATTAAAATGAACTTTTGGCATATTACAACAGTTTCTTCTGACTCAGGCTTTGTAGTATATCTGGGGAGAAAGAAATCACCGCAGTGCAAGAGCATTTTCAACAGATCAAACAAAACCTATCCATAAATTGTCTATGTGGGATAGTGCTATGTAAATGTCAAATGCCCTAAATTAAAAGAGGTAGCTGTTTTATCATGAGGGCATTGTTTAATAGACGCTGATAGAAACACAGAATCCTGAAAGAACATCTGTGCCAGAAAAAATAATGACTACGTTCCTGTTAAGGCTCTGTAATAAGCATGTCATATTGATTGAATTATTGATGCATTTGGTTATTTATGCTGTCTTCCCTCTTTGATATCACTGCTGTTGTGACTTATAAAATAAACTTGAAATAAGACTGAAAAAACCAGTCCATATAATCACAAATGATTTCCTTCAAGCAAAGACCCAACCATTTTACTTTTCCTAATAATGGGGGAAAAAAGGATTTTTTTCAGTTTTGGAAAATCTTTAAAAATATTTTTAAGAATAGAATCTATCATTCTCTAGTAATTTAATTAAAATTCATTTGTGGAAATGAGATTGGCTTTCATATTTTCATTAAAAAACAGAAAGAAAGTCATATTTTAGTCCAGGTGTGGAATGAATACAAAGAATCTTGCTTCCTCTTCATCTTCAGACTCCCTGCTTGTAATTCTAGGTGCTGCAGTGAAACACACACATTTTATTCTTCCTATAGATTGCCTTGTCCTTTCACTCTTACCTTGCAAAGCCCATCCTGGCAGCCAGATGTGACACAGATGTCCATCTGTCCCCGATCGGGTGGGTAGTTGAGGGTGGGAGGATTATGTAATTTAACTTGCAGTTGTTTTAGCCAGGACAGAAGTTCTGGAATTCTAAAGCATAAAATGTACTTTTAATCTTTTAGTAGTAAAAAATCCCAGTAATGGTAGACATAAAATAAATGATAGTTTTATGACAAGCATTTTAAATATGTGATTTAAAAGGCCTCAAATACTTTCAGTATTAATATTCCCAATTAAATTATTATTATCTATCTGAGAGGCAGAGATACACAAAGAGGAACACACCCACAAGGGAGGGGAAAGAGAGAGAACTCCCAATCTGCTGTTGTTCTATTTCCCAAAAACTGGCAATGAGTGGGCCTGGGTCAGGTGAAGCCAGGAGCCCAGGAAAACTCCAACTAGGTCTCCCTGTGTAAAGCAGGGACTGAACCACTGGAGCTGTGCCCTGCTGTGCAGGGGGCCCGTCTGCAGGCACCCACAATCAGGTATAGAGCCAGGACTCCAACCTGAGCACTCTGTTATGGGACACAGGTGTCTCAATCACTAGGCCAAACATCTACTCCAATATTCCCAGTTAAAGATAACATAAATCCCTGAGCCTAAGCAACTGCACAATGAAAAATAAAAATTAACAAAAAAAAGGTAACAATTGATTTGGAGATGAGGAAATTCACATTGTCAATCATTTAATCAATGAGCAGAGGGTTGAATCTATGTCTTATTTCAAAGCTTCAAGTCTTGCTTTACGCTAGAGAATCACTGCTTAATTGATTCTTTGTTCTGCTTCAGAATGCTGTAGGCTACCTAGAGTTCAGGCGCAATAAAGTTCTTTGTAGCATAGAAAGAAAAGCCAAGCATGTATTTCTTGCCTATAATTCATGTGTCTATATATTATCTCAATGTGTTTTTCAGTCATACAAAATAGATTTAAGTTAACTATAATTTATTTGCCCTCAAGAAATATTTACCATTCAAAGACTTGGTAACTAAGGTTTTAAGATATGTATTTCTGCTTACCTTGAAATAATTAAAGACAGCTGAGTTTATGAGAGCAATGCATTTGCATATGTGTCTACTTAAAAATTGTGTGAAGTTGGTAGAAAATTGATCAGCAACATGAAATTGCTGCTTCCTGTGTCCTTCCTTCTAAAAAGCTTCTGTACCTCACTGACTCCTCATTTTTTAAATTCAGCTTAAATAGCACTTCCTTCCAGAAGCTATCTTTCACTCAGTTATACAAGATGAATAAGCAGTCACTGGGGAGCTTCAGCCAATTAATATCCCTTTTAAAATTGTTTATCATTTTCTATCTACCTGAAACACAGAGAGATAAGAAAGAAAAGAAAGAGTGGGAGGGAAAGAAAGGAATCTTCTATCTGCTGGTCTACTCCCCAAAGGCCTACAATAACCAGGGCTGGACCAGGCTGAATCCAGGAGCCCCAAACGCCATCTGGGTCCCCCAGCTGGGTGGCAGGCACTGGAGTACTTGGGCCCTCACTGGTTGTCTCCCAGGATGCATGGGCAGGCGGCTGGACTGGCAGCAGGGCAGCAGGGAGTTGAAGCAGCACTCTGACTCGGGGTGCCCAGGTCCTAGCGGAGTACTCAACCACTGTACCACAGTGTTACCCTGTATCTTTTTTGCTTTTAAACATTCCTTGAAAACTCTCTCTTCAAACCTTTCTAATCATTGGACACCAGATGAAAGAGCTCTAAGTCACCTTATCAGTATGTCTGACTGTTGTTCATGAAAATAGCCCAAGAAGCTTTTCTATCGAGAACCTACCCAGCACTTTGAGAATACTGAAGTGCTCTGTTCATCGTCTCTTCTTCAAATCGGATGGTGATTCCATCTTCTGCAGTGATAACAGCACTCTTGAAGGGGAACACACTTGGATTTGGGTATCCAGGAGCCAAGGAGATGAGTGATTTTGGTGCCCTGCCCAATATTTCAGCTGCAATTAATAAAGAAGTTCTTTGAGAATTTAATAAACACGGACAAACACTACATAGAAAGTTCAATGATCGATATGATGAACAGTGCTACTGTCTGTTGGTGTCCCCCAAACCCACATCTTGAAACCTAATGCCTAGTGTGAGAAGCTGAAGCGGTGGGGCTTGAGGTGGGCTCTGCCTTCAGGAGTGGGACTAATATCCTTAAGAGGGCCGAGAGTACGCATGTGCCATCCTGCCCTGTGACTCCATGTGTCCCCTTTGCCACAAGGGGACACAGCTATGAAGCTCCACCTGTATGGAACATGGGCCCACCAGGCATGGGGTGTGCTTGCTCCTTGACCTGGGGCTTCCCAACTTCCAGAACTGTAGGAAACAAATTCCTGTAGTTTCCAAATTGACCACTTACTCTATTTCGATACAGGAGCCCCAAAGAGAATAATGATACTAGTCTAAAATAAATGCAGAATACGTCTTGACCTGCCACTCTGGTGTATGGACTTAAGGGGGATGATTGAGGAGTAACCGCGGGAAGCAGGGAAGTGCCTCAAGAACAGCCTCTGAGTAGCTCTGCCCTGCCTGTGAAGCCTCACCCCTTATGCTACCATTGTCCTGGTCCTCCTGACCCCCCACACATCTGCACCCAGCTTTCAAGGAAGAACCTATTTGACAACAGTGCTTCCCACGCACTCCCCAGCACCTGTCCCTCCCTCACTGCAGCTCCAGTTCCACCTGGCACAGAAACACTAGAGCCGGCCCAGCGCTGCAGCAAGCACAATGTGAGCCCAAGGCTGCAGGGACTGCCTAGGTCCCTTCTGTTTGCCTAGAGCGCTTAGTGAGCAAAGTCCCATCCCTGCTGGCCCTGCGTCTCACCCATGACTCTGATGGGAGAAGGCCTTCTGGCCAAGCTCGTGGCCGTGAGAAACCGTGCGTAATTCATGCCTGGGGACAGCAAAGCAGCGAGCTCCGGCTTGAGTTGTGTACGAATGGAAAACAGAGTTCCTGGGTCAAAGTCCTGTGTATCAGTTCTCACTCCAGCAACGCTGCCACAGCTGCTCCCTGTAGTTTCCGCACAGTACTCTGCTATTAAATTGGCCTGGAGCCGCAAAGTTGGCCTGCGGAGGAAGAGTCCTAGCGGTCGCTCAACTAGACGCCAATTCGCTGCGCCCCTTCCCACCCAGCGCTCGGCCTATGGCCGCGAGTTCCGCCCATCTCGTCCCGGGTCATCGCCCTAGTTGCGCAGGGCAAGGGAGTGAGGGCTGGCCTCGCGGAACTAGCAGTTTTGGGTTAGTGCCTGGATTAACTCTTAGTCCAACACGGTTTTGACCTTGTTCCGCGAGTAGCCACAACATAGCGTCCAGATTGACTCTGGCGCTGGTGTGAGATTTTGCAGGGGAGCTGCTGGAGGCGCCCGGAAACTCACCCAATCCCGATCCTCGAGTACCATCTGGCGGTCTTTTTGGTCCGTTACAGCAGCTCCCTAAACGGCTCAAAGCCTGGCGCTGTCCTATCTGGGAACCTCACCTGTGGCGATGCAGACTGAACATTTTACAAGCTGAGACCCATTCATCGCTGGGCCATTGTTTCATCTTTCCTTAATAAAATTGTAGGGATTAACATAGAAGTGACCGAGGCGCTGCAGAAGAATTCCCACACCACTTCCTGCAAGGTCTGATGAGTTGGAGTGGTGTGCTGACTCAAATTTGTGAAAAATCCCATAAAATGTCTCCTCAATTTTCCTGTCTCTGCTCCCTTTGAAATTGTCGACTTCTTATTCTGGATTGAAATGAAGTTCTCACAGTTGGATTTCACGAACCCTCCGGGTTATGGCCATGCTCAGACACGCTTCCTTAGGCTCACTGGGCTTGCAGAGAGAAGGAGAGGGAAGAATAACTTGACCAATTAGAGACATTAGCCATTTAATTCCACAGCTGTGGAAGTCAGCTTGTTCTAACAGGATGGAAACAGGTTTGGGTAGGAGCCAAGAGTCATTAAATTGGCAGGTGTGCCTTTGACCGCTGGAGCCTCTGCTGTGGAGATCTGTGAGGTCCTGGATTTTGGAGGGAGGTGCTGGTCGCCAGGCTTTGGGGATGAACATCCCCTGCTGCAGCCTGAGCTCTGCACATGGGAGAAACCGAGGACAGAATGCAGCCTGGCCCAGCGCGCACTGTCATCCCAAACCAGTGCTAAAGAGATTTCACGCCATTGTCAGATGCAGGCTCTCAACCTTGAAGCAGTTTACTGGCTTTCTTGTTCAGCCTCCTTGGGTTGGGTAGGTGTGATGGTTAATGGTGCCAGTTGGTTATAAATGGGGTGTTGATCCAGGCCAGATAGAGGTAGAGAAGTGACCCATTAAGGCAGTCTGTGGAGTGCAGGGGCACTTGGAGTTGTGATTAGAAAAGACGGGCAGAATACAGCCATGCGGCTGGTGTTTTGGCACAGGAGATAAGTGGTTGCCTGCATGCCAGCATGCCCTGTAAATATTGGTGCATGTCCCAGATGCTCCACTTCCCATCCAACCACTTGCTCATCAGCCTGGGAAAGCAGTGGTTCCTGGCTTCTCCATTCTCCATGGCCTGGCCCCAGCCGTTGTGGACCCTTTATGGAGTGAATCAGGCAATGGAAGCTCTCTCTCTCTCTGCATCCCCTCTCTGCATTTCAAAACAAATTAAGCTTTAAAAAGGAGAGCATGGCCATGAGAGGGAGAAGGAAGAGGGCAGTTGGCATGAGAAAACCAGTTGATCAAAAACTGAAAGATGAAGGTAAATGGATTACTAGAGAAACTGTTTGAACTTGTGAGCAGCACGAGGGAAAGGAGGTCTCCTGAGAAAGAAAAGGGAAGGAGCAGGGCACACTGTGCATTGTTGAATTGAAGGACTAGGGGGCCAACCCATGAGCATGGAATTAAAGGAGACAGGTTCCTTCTTTAGACATTCATCAACTTCCTACTCTGTGCAAGGAATTTTCATGAATTTAAGATAGGTGACAGATGAGTCACTGCTCTTGCTGGGAGTTTGTCTGTTGAAGTTCAGCAGTTTCATGAGATTCATTATGTATGGCAGAGTTAGATTCAGACTTCCAATAAAAAGTTCCAGGAATAACTTACATGTGGAAATTGGGTTGCTTATCCATAACTAATTGCAAATGTCCATTGTACTGCATAACCTGTTTCAAAATGTGCTATCCATACTGTATACACTCCATACAGTCCTGAGGACTTGGCAGTTAGACATGCATTGGCACATCCACCCTTGCTTTGTAACTGGTGATATGGCTCAGGTGCTTGGTCTAGAGCAATATATGCACATCAGATTTAAAAAAAGAAACAAATAAAAAGGAGTGGACTGTTTCTTGAATTGCTTTCAGATTCACAACATCTCTGCCTACCCTGTCTGCTTGTCCTGCTTGTGAGTCAGTGCTGTCTATGGCAGCCCCAATATGTGCCTTCCCTGCTGCTGAAGTCTAGCTGACAGCCAACTTCACTACCCATTCTTTGTACCCTTTTCTCCAGAAAAAGAAAAAGGCTTCTAGCACAAGCTTGGGATGCAATAGCCAGTGCTTATCATGGGTGGGCCTTCATCCTGCAGAGCCTTGCAATTGGCCCAAATCGGGACAGCACTGAGTGGGTCATTATTCCATCAGATCACGAGTGGCTACTACTTCTTTCTTGAGTGCAGTCACAGGCTGTCAGTGACAGCATTGCAATGACAGCATCAGGACATTCTTCTACAGGGAAGACAAGGTTACTCTGTCCAGATGGAACTTAAATTCTAGTTAATGAAGGATTCTATCAGGAAGTAGATGAAATGCTCTCACTAATTATTATGCTGTGACTTGAGTTGTGGAGGACCCACTCAGACAACTCAGCCCTCCAGGACTATTCTACATTAGTAGTATAGTGGTGAGGAGATTGGGAAAGAGCTACACTGCAGAGGCTGTGGCCTGGGGTAGATGAAGTCAATCAGAAGCGCATCTGTGGCTAACTACCCTAACTTTACCCTCCTCATACTTTTCTAAAGTATTGTCAATAACTGAGCACAGCAGAAAGCCGTTCTGCAAGGGAGCCTGTTGATGAGTCCAAATATGCACCCACTGTCTGAGGCAAGGCAGAGCAGCAAGGGGAGTGCAGATTTGTAAGGGCAGTTGGGAAATAACCAGTTTGTATGTGAGTTTTTACCATTATTCTATCATGCAAACTGTCTCTTCAATGAAAAGTAGCACATATTTTGTTTAAATGACACATATAGTTGGTTCATATTCTGTGGACTCACCTCCTTCGTGGACTATCTTCTGTTATATTAATTGCTGTTTGTGTAAATGAACTTCCAAATACTTCACCTAATCCTATTCACAATATCGATCTGAGTTTCTGCCATCAGGCCACAGCTTAACATGATATAGTGTTGGTAGGATGGTAAGAGCTATGTGAACAACAATTCATATAGTAATGTCAGAAAGGGCAGTGTTGATCAGTACACACTGTATACATGAATGAAATGTCACACTACAGCCCACAAACATATACAACTACTATGAAAAAAATCAAAAACAAAAAGTGTAACACTAGGAAATCTATCAAAACATACATATTTAGAGTAATAAAATCAAAAGAGATATTAACACAAGTGAGAAATAGATTGAAAACCTTCAAAATACATATAGCATAAATAAGTTACTCTAAGCATACTGTGTATGCTACAAGAACAGCAGCATTACATCAGATGAATAACACTAGCCATTTAAAATTGAACAGTCTTCCACAGCAGCCCCCCAGTCCCGCCATCAGTCTTCCATCTCAAGATTGTATTCTCTTTCCAAAGACCATACCTACAGACTCAACATGAAAAGGTTGGGTATCTTAACTGTCCTCTGAGATAGCACTGCTCTAATTTATGGGCCTGGTGCGGTAGCCTAGTGGCAAAGGTCCTCACCTTACACACACTGGGATTCCATATAGGTGCCAGTGCATGTCCCGGTGGCCCCACTTCCCATCCAGTTCCCTGCTTGTGGCCTGGAAAAGCAGTCAAGGATGGCCCAAAGCCTTGGGACCTACACTATGGGAGACCCCAAAGAAGCTCCTGGCTTCATATCAGTTGAGTCCCAGACATTTCAGCCACTTGGGGAATGAATCAGCAAACAGAAATTTGTTACCCCTTATCAAAACTCTTTACTATATGCTACCCTGTAAGGTTTAGTAATCAGCATCTTGTGTTCAGATTGAGTTTTCTTTAGCTTCTTCAAGTTTATGTGATTTATTTGTTGATTTGAGAGCTACGCGCACGCACACACACACACACACACACGAGAATGAATTTCCATCTGTTGGTTCACTTCTCAAATGTCTGTAACATCCAAGCCTGGGCCTAAGCTAAAGCTGGGAGCCAGGAATGCCATCCAGGTCACATAAGCTCATGGTAAAACCCAATTACTTCTGCTATCACTGCTGGTCTCAGAGCTTACCTATAGCAGGAGGCTGGAGGTAGGATCCAGAGCCAGGAGTCCAACTCAGGAGCTCTGATGGGAAATGAAATGCAGGTATCTTAACCTCGGCTCCCTTAGTTCTGGTTAGTTCTTATACCCAATCACTTGTCATTGTTTACCCCATTATTCCAATTATGATGTTTTATTTCTGGGATTCTGATTGATTCTTTTCCATATTTATGTGTTTTTTTTTTTAACATATTTACTTGTTTTATTTAGATGTTAAAAATGTGAATGCTGTTTTCTCCATTATTTAGCTGAAATCTTAGATGTTCTTGTGCTTTTTTAAAAACTCATATTTATCTGTTTGAAATGGAGTGAGAGGGAGAGATTTTGAAAGAGTAAGCTAGAGAGAGAGAGAGAGAGAGAGAGAGAGAGAGAGAGACAGTCACACAGTCACCAAGATCTGTCATTCAACAGATCCGTATCCTCAGATGCCTGTAAAAACTGGGTTGGGTCAGGCCAAAGCCAGAAGCCTGGAACTCACCCTGGAATTGAGCAGCGATCTCCCACATGGCTTATAGGGAACCAAGTACTTGTGCTAATACATGCATCTGCTACCCTCTCTGGGTGCACATTTGCAGGAAGTGGAATCAGAAGCAGAGGCAGGATTCAATCCCAGGCCCTCAGATATGGAATGCAGGAGTCCCAAGCAGTGTCTTATCCACTGTGTCAGATGTAAATCCTCCA